AAGAGAAAGAGAGAGAGAGAGAGAGAAAGAGAAAGAGAGAGAGCGAGAGCGAGAGAGCTTGACAGACAGGAAAATTTTATTTGATTTTTTTTTTCGTTTTACAGAACAGTGAACATGTCTTTCAAAAAAGCCAGGGTAAGATGCTATACAATCTGTCCAACCTGTCAAGTGTTTCTATCTACGTAGATAGCTGTCAATCAAACATTAGTTCTACATGCCTGAAGAACTGTGTCATTGCGTTTACATTATTCACACATTATCTATTCGGAAAATGAAACTTTTATATCACTAATCATATCAAAGACAAGACCAGTGTCTATAGCGAAATTAATATAATAAGTGCTAATCTCTGGAAAGTGCTATTTGATCGACAGGATGCGGGAGAGACAGAGAGATAGAGGATAGAGAAATGCGTTATATCTTATGTGACTGTGCGGCAAATATATAGATAGAAAAACAGATAAGGCTATATGGATAGATAGGTAAATCAATAAAGCTATTGATTGATCGGTAAACAGGTAGATGCGTAGGTAGATAGACAGACATGTTATCGCAGTTCTTTTGGTTCGTTATCATGTCCTCCCATTTTTTAAACATTCATAGTTGAATATAAAATGAAAAATCAAAATGATATTCGATTATTCAGGTTATCGATATTCGATATTAAAAAAAAACAGTATTTAGATACAAATATTTAAGGAATAAGTTACGGGTGAAGTGAAATAGATAATTCGACTGGATTTAGGGGAGAGATCTATTGCAATTTTAACGAAATACTTCAGTTTATGCTCGAGATACCACGTGAGAGCCAGCCGCCATTTTGTTTTTCGTTTTCTTCTTTGTAGCTGTGTGTATGTGCGTTCGTGTATGTATGTGTGTGTGTGTGTGTGTGTGTGTGTACGTGCGTGTGTGTGTGTGTGTGGCGTGTGCTGTGCCTACGTGCGTGCGCGTGTGCGCGTGTGTGTATGTTAGCGTGCGTGTATGTGTGTGTGCGTGGCCCTGTGTACGAGAATATACACTTTCTCTCCGCTTAAACAGCCAACCTCCCTCCAGCGCCAAGAGAAGTGACCGCTGTTTGTTGACATCTTCCTCATTGAAGGATTGAGCTTGATTCGGCTCCTTGACGCCTGGCTGCTGCTGATTGGCGAATCGCCGCGAAGGGAGATTAACCTCTTTTTTCGCTAGCTCTCCTGATTTCTTTTATTTCTTCTCTTCTTCTTCTCATTTTTCCTATTTCATTTATTTTCATTTCCGTCTGGTGCTTTATTTCCCTTCTACGGCATTGTTTTTGCGATTGACGAACGTGTTTTTGTTTACTGTTGCCATTTAAAAATCAGTGTAGGTAATGAGAAACTCATGAATATAAAGGAATCAGCTGCGTATGTATATATATATATATATATATATATATATATATATATATATATATATTATTATATGTGTGTGTGTGTGTGTGTGTGTGTGTGTGTGTGTGTGTGTGTGTGTGTGTGTGTGTGTGTGTGCATTTATATACATATAATATGTACATTTTAAATATATATATATATATATATATTATATATATATATATATATATATATATATATGTGTGTGTGTTGTGTTGTGTGTGTGTGTGTGTGTGTGTGTGTGTGTGTGTGTGTGTGTGTGTGTGTACATATATAATGTACATACATACATATATATATATATATATATATATATATATATATATATATATATATATATATATGTTGGAAGACGAAGAAGAAGAAGAAGAAGAAGAAGAAGAAGAAGAAGAAGAAGAAGAACTTAAGCTTCCGAATCCCGATCAGGTGACAGTTCTGAAGGGCGCGTAAGCAAGAAGGTTCGAAGGGAGGTGTTGGCTTAACCTTAGGGCGCCCGTAAGGATGTGTCTAAGCTCTGTGCATGATGTTCAGGAAGGAGGAGGAGGAGGAGGAGAGGAGAAAAAGAAGAAGAACAACAAGAACAAGAAAAAAGCCCAAAAAAAAGAAGGAGTAGGAAAGAGGAGGAGGAGAGGTCGTGGTGGTGGTGGTGGAAGAGGAGGAGAAGAGGAAGAAGGAAAAGGAGAACAAGAGCAAGAAAAAGACTAAAAGAAGAAGGGGGAGGAGGTCGTGGAGGTGGAGGTAGAGGCAGACGAGGAGGAGGAGGAGAAGGAGGTGGAGGAGGAGAAGAAGAAGAAGAAGGATAAGAAGAACAAGAACAAGAAGGAGTAAGAAAGAGATAAAAATAGAAGGAGGCGAAAGGGGGAAAAGAAAAAGGCCATGTAGATGGAACCACAGTAGCTTTCCTATTTTCACCAAAGATAATCTCATAAATCTGTAGTTCCTCGCCGTTCATCTCAAGAAACCACTCTGTGTATCTAAATTCCCCGCGGATCCCAGGTTTTGAAAAGTCTGTTTACTCAACAAGCGGTTTTTTTTTCTTTTTTTGGGGGGGACGGACTAACAACAAACTCGATTTCCTAGTTTTATATTTTCTATTTCTCAGCTGTGAACCACATGTAACTGACTATTAAGAAGTGGCATTATTTAAGAAATTAAAGTTTGGAGGTAATTTTTTTTTTTTTTTTTTTTTTTTTTTTTTTTTTTTTTTTTTGCCTTACTGCGTCCAAAAAACACTTGCTCTCGAGTAATTACTTGAATAAACTTGCCCGTAAAGCTTCAATATCGCAAAATGTCTACTCCGACGCAGAATTTTAGAAAAGAATGGAGACTTTATTTCTAATATTTTCATTCTTTTTTTTTTAACACAACACGTTCCTTTACCAAAGAACTGCATTTGTTATAAAGACACCGCATCCAACACCTTGCTTTTATACCATGTTCTTTCACTTCTCGTCGGTGATGTAACTTATAAGACGAGAAATATGTAGACCAAGATATAGTTCGCCATTTCCATCAACTACAGTCATGGTATCTGTCTCTGCAGCCATAATTAGAAACCCTTGTTACACCCATTATTTATGATATCCATTATCCAAAATCAAACGGGCCATGAATTCTCGTTTCTCAGCGGTGATGGCCTCTTGTGGAGAAACAATTGAAGATTTCACGTTGAAACTATAATTTAATCTTCTTGATATGTATAATAACTAGTAAATTATGTTGTTTACTTTAATAACCCACTCCAGTGTTACAAGGGCGACTTTCCTCCTGATTTCTCTTTGTTGGTTGTTTTTAGGTTTGAAAGAGGTTAAGTACTGTTATATTTGGAAGATATTTTTTAGGAGAGAGGAGGGAGAGGGAGAGAGAGAGAGAGAGAGAGAGAGAGAGAGAGAGAGAGAGAGAGAGAGAGAGAGAGAGAGAGAGAGAGAGAGAGAGAGAGAGAGAGAGAGAGAGAGGGAGAGGGAAAGACAGAGACAGACAGAGACAGAGTCAGATAGAGGCAAATACAGACATAGACCAAGACAGAAAGAAAAAAAACACAGAGGCAAAAACAGAGAAAAAAACAAAAGTAGGGACAGACACAGACAGAGGTAAAGGCAAGACAGAAAGACGTGGAGACAGAGAGAGAAAGACGCAGTAGGTACCTGATTTTTTGTTCAGGTACTCCCTAATGTAAACCCTTTAATCAGCGGAGAGAGTTCATCAGGAGTTTCATTGTAAGCTAAATATACGCACAGACAGACAGCCATTCGCAGTGTGACGTCACAGGAAGGGAGTTGATGATTATTAATGAGATCCAGATGTACGATGACACAGGTGTTCACCTTGGTCATAAAGGCGAGAATCACCTTGTTTATCGCTTTATATCGCCTCTAATGACAGGTAAACAGCGTGCGCGCCAGGAGTAAAGTGCGAGAAGAACCAAAAAATAATATAGAATAATAAAAAAGAAACGAAAGTGATTTGTTCGAACTCGAGTTATTAATAATTCTCCGCGTGGAATCGGATGTTAAAAGTCAGCAACAGAGAGCAAGATGCAATACAGATGTGGTTTATTGTCAATTCTTGTGGAACATCCTGTTTCTCCGGGAACCACCTGTGACCGTTCGAGCCAGCTGTCAATAGTTCAGATCTGATGTTGCGGCTATAAAATGTAACGAAAATGATTGTTGAAACGTTTTATATCATTTAAATGGTATAGTAATGTTATTGAAGAATCACTCCAACAAAGCATACACCATTATTTGTTATAATGGACACAGTATAAAACATTTCAACTAGTTTTAACTGATTGACTTATACGGTTAACTGAAGACCTAAAGAACCAGTTTATGGAGGCACGTGGTGATGCAGGGACACGGAAAATGATGGATGACATAGGCCTATATTTTTTTCTTGGAAGGGGCGGGGGGGGGGGGTGGCATTGATGTATGTGCTCTACGTAATAGCTGTTCCTCCGGCCTTGTAATCTAGGCGCGTCGCGTTATTTATGAGAAGACTGGTATTCGGACACAAACACATACAAACGAACGCACAAACACGCACACACACACAAACAACCAATGAAACAAAACAAATATATGTACAAACACACAACACACACACACACACACACACACACACACACACACACACACACCACACACATATATATATATATATATATATATATATATATATATATATATATATATATATGTGTGTGTGTGTGTGTGTGTGTGTGTGTGTGTGTGTGTGTGTGTGTGTGTACATATATATGTATGTATATATACAATATACATATATATATATATATATATATATATATATATATATATATAATACATATATATATATACCGTCTTTATGTTATTCATTCCCACTCCATTTACTTTATCTTTCAGTCTCCCATCCATTTCCTTTATCTTTCTCTCTGTCTCATCCACGCCTCCTCCTCTTCTCACTCACTCACTCACCTTCACTCACTCTGACGCCCCTCACTGACTCAGGTAACTTCTAAATCGTCATCACTAATTAACTCACCTGGAAGAGATGTCGCCGGCGGGATGAAGAACAGCGCCACGAGGGTAAGAATGTAAGAATTCACTATTCTGTTATTCTTGTGAAATTCCATTG